CTATCTACAATTCTATGTAGCTAAAATGTTGGGCATCGGGGGGGGGGTTCTCTCTCTTTGAACTTGGCCTACTGATTTGACTTTTAAGAACATTGCTGAATCCGCATGTCATTCAGTTGTTTCTTGGGGGAGTTGAAAATACGTAACTCCCGATTGCAAAAAAATAAATAAAATGTAATTATAGAGATTTTTTTAAAAAAAACAAAACAAACAAACCCCATTGAGGGAAAGAGCATTTTGGAAACGCAGGAGGGGGTAAAGCTGCAGTCTTTCGCCTTAAAAAAAAATAATAATAATTTCTGATTTTCAAAAACTTTCCGCATTTACTCAAAAGTTTTTTTTCAGAAGGGGTTTGCCAGTCACCTCCTTGAAAAGGTTGAGAGAAATGCGATTGTGATATGTGCCCGAAGCAGGACTAGAACCCACAACCTTCCAGTTTCTAGCCTGATGTTGTTCCACCCTAAGGTGACGTCCAATTGGCTGTTCTTTTGTCTTAAAATTTGGCAAAAACTCATACCGGCGACTGGCTATTAAATCAGCAAGTATGAATTTTAAAGTATTTTACTCTCAGTTTTTCTAATTGGGGATTAGCAGTAGGATTCAAATAAATTAACAATCGATTCTCTGCCATAATGACCGTCTGGGTGAGCGTGGCCATGATGGGCGTGGCCAGAGGGTGTGGCAGGCAGCACTTGGCCTCCTGCACCCCCCTGGAAGCAAACACGGGCCATGTGGGGAGCGCCGCCCCTCCGCGCCCCGTTTTGGGCCTAGTAGGCCTCCCTGCAGCCTCCTGGGAGCAAAAACGGGCCATGGGGGGGGGCGTACCGCACCCCCCCATGCCCCGTTTTGGGCCTAGTAGGCCTCCCTGCAGCCTATTGGGAGCAAAAACGGGCCATTTTTGCTCCGTGGGGGCTGCACTGCACACACTCCTGTGCCCCGTTTTGGGTCTAGTAGGCCTCACTGCAGCCTCTTGGGAGCAAAACCGGGCTGTGGTGGGCCTGTTTTCCACCTTCCCAGGTTCCATGCACCCCCTGCACTTACCTGAAATCCAAAACGGGCTGCGTGGGGACTCTGGGGTGGGTCGGAGCCAGCCAGTCATTGGAACTATCAGTTCGTCGAACCGGACATAAAATTAACATCCCAAACTGATCCAAACCGGCTGAATCCCACCTCTGCCCCTTTTGCAACCCTCTGACGAGCAAAGTCAGTGGGGAAGCCAGATTCACTTAACAACCGGGTGACTAACGTATCCACTGCGGTGATTCACTTAACAACTGAGGCCAGAAAGGTCATAAAACCAGGCAAAACTCACTTAACAAATGCCTCCCTTAAAAACATAAACTTTGGACTCGACTGTGGGCATAAGTCGAGACTTCCTGTATAGTGAAAACATATAAATATTTGCGAAAATCATAAATACAGATATTCTTCATAGTTAGACATTATGGACAATGTAGGTTTATAAAACCAGATGAAAACATACCATGAGCCAGCAGAATTCTGGAGATATTTGGCATCAATTCTGTTTTCCATTCATCTTTCTTAGCTTGAATTAATATATCAGAGCGATTATAATACATGATTATATTATAAATCGATTATAGGTTGCTTAGTGTTTTATAAAAGGCGCATACCTTGCGATTAATCATTCATGTTATACTTGGGATCTTCTGAGCTTGCATTTTTAATTTCAAAAATGCCCAGTTGAAAATGATTTTTAATTTATTGGCCGACATCCTGAACGGAATTCAAAAATTGATAATTATCATGTGTTGGTTTTTATTCATTTCTAGCGCCACCTATGGATGCAAATAAATTATCTCCTGTGAACGGCTGAATACAGGTAGTCCTCGAATTACGACTCCCACTCAGCCCAGAATTTCTGTTGTTAAGCGAGACATTTGTTAAGTGAGTTTTGCCCGGTTTTACAACCTCAGTTGTTAATTGAGGCACTGCAGTCGATAGGTTAGTAGCCCGGTTGTTAAGTGAATCTGGCTTTTCCATGGACTTTGCTCATCAGAAGGTCGCAAAAGGAGATCACACATTATCTTAGGCAGAGGTCATAAATATGAGTCAGTTGCCAAGCGTCTGAATTTTGATCACATGATCATGGGGATGCTGCAATGGTTGTAACTGTGAAAAACGGTCATAAGTCACATTTTTCAGTGTCGCTGTAACTCAATTTACAACAATTTGCTCAGTGACTGTTCAAAGTTACAACTGCACTAAAAAAAAGTGACTTATGTCCATTTTTCACACTTACAACCATTGCAGCATCCCTATGGTCACATGATTTACATTTGGATACTGGTCAACTGACTCACATTTATGACGGTTGATGTGTCCCAAGGTCACACAATCCTCTCCTGCGACCTTCTGATGAGCCAAGTCCACGGAGAAGCCAGATTCACTTAACAACCTGGTTACTAACTTAACAACTGCGGTGATTCACTTAACCAACGGGACCAGAACAGTCATAAAATGGAGCAAGAGTCACTTCACCAATGTCTCACTTAGCAACATAAATTTTGGCTCAGCTGTGGTCATATGGGGCGGATTCCCCCATGCAACATAATGGACAATACCCTGTTTCCCTGAAAATAAGACATCCCCTGATAATAAGCCCAATTGGGCTTTTGAGCACATGCACTAAAATAAGCCCTTCCTGAAAATAAGCCCTCCCCGAAAATATTTAAACACATGCATAGCCGGTCCCCGCCATTTTCTCTGGTTTCCTCCCCATGCCCCAAAATAATAAGATCTCCCCGAAAATAAGGCCAAGCGCTTATTTCGGGGTTCAAAAAAATATAAGACAGGGTCTTATTTTCGGGAAAATATGGTAGTTGTATAATTTGAAGTTCTGCAAAAGTTAAGGGTGCTGGAGCGGTGTTAGATAATTTGTGCCACACTCATTTTGGAAGAGCTATTTGCGGTGTTTTGCAAATAAAATCACAACTCCCTTTGGTTTCACCTTTCATAATTCAAGAAGTCGGTTTCAAGATGACAGTACTTGGGTGATTTCCATTTATTTAAAACTCTGACCTTCTTCAAATTTGGGGTGATGCCTCCACCAGGAAAAAAATTGGGCCAATTCCTGCTTTCAAGTTAGCATAGTAGCAGGTGACAAAAGAGTTTATGATAGTGTGTGTGTGTGTGTGTGTGTGTGTGTGTGTGAGAGAGAGAGAGAGAGAGAGAGAGAGAGAGAGAGAGAGAGAGAGAGAGAATACGGCTAGTCCTAGACTTACAACCATAATTGACCTCAAAATTTCGGTTGTTAAGTGAGGCGTTTGTTAAGTGAGCTTTTTTCCCCCCATTTTACGACCTTTCTTGCTACATTTATTAAGTGAGTCTCTGCCGTTGACACATTACTATAACCTAGTTGTTAAGTGAACCTGGCTTCCTCATGGACCTTTGTGGGTCAAAAGGTCGCCAAAGGGGATTGATTCAGTGGTGGATTCCTCCCGTTCGGCCCGGTTCGCGCGAGCCGGTAGCGGTGACGCTATTACGTCACCGAACCGGTTCTCATCTTCGGGAGCTGGGCCCTCCTGCGTTATTCTGACCTTATATTTCTGCTGTTTTCACCCAGCTGAGTGGTGCGGCAGAGCGGATTGCCGCACCTCAGCTGGGCAGATTCGCAACGCGCTTGCGCGAAGCACTCGTTTGGTGTGCCTGCAAGCGCAAAGCGCTCATAAAAAGAGAACCGGTAGTAAAGCCGGTTAGAACCCACCCCTGGATTGATTGCATGACCTTGGGACATAGCAACAGTCATAAGCGTGAACCGATGGCCGAGCATCTGAATTTTGATCATGTGATCATGGGGATGCTGCAAAGGTTGTAACTGTGAAAAATGGTCGCAAGCCACTTTTTTCAGTGCCCGCTGTCACTTGGAACGGTCACTAAATGAACTGTCGTAAGTCGAGGACTACCCATACGATGGATTCATTTTTAATCTATTATAAACCAATACATAGTGATACAGGTGGTCCTGGAGTTACAACCATTCTTTTAGTGACCGTTCAAAGTTACAGCAACATTGAAAAAAGTGACTTATGACCTGACATGCCTCCCCCCCCTTCCAGCGAGTGAGAGGGCAGCTCTGGTTGGCCTTGGAGGAAACTGGGGAAGGGCAGGGTCAGGCCAGGCAAGGCTGTTCGGAGTTAGCAAGGCCTGTAGGCAGGATGGAGAGACAGGGCTCAGACAAGGAGCAAGGGCTAGGAGAGTGCAGAGAAGGCGGGATCAGTGCAGGCAGAGAAGGCCACGTGCGAGGAGAGTGCCCCACCCAGCTTCACCAGGAGCACCTGGGGAATGAGACTTAAGGAGACACCACGGGGAGGGGCATTTGTCGGGAACAAACTCTGAGTTCATGAAGTGTTGTGTGCCGACGTTTGAACTTGCCAAGAGTCCTTGCATTCCTTGTTGGCGTTCTGGACTAATTATCTGGATCTTCTGCTCCCTGAACTCCTTGCCTGGCTCTTGTTTTGCCAAATACATTTGGGATTTATTGCCGTGCAGCCTTGGCAGATAGCGCTGGGCTGGATTAATTGCAGCCAGAGGCTGCTTGAGGTTTGTGTGGGGGTTTGTTCTCACTCTGCTCTGGGACTTGCCAGAAACGTGGGAGCGTTTGGGGGAGATTTGGAGCAATAAAGGAGCTGTTTGAACTGCCAGCTGTTTGTGTTATCTCTGTGCCGTGCCCTGGGTCATCACATGACCAGTTTTCACACTTACGACTCATGAGTATTCAAAACATTGCTTTAAAATGTGTGTCCTTATTCCAAAACGTCATGTTGTAATCATGCTTTTTAAAGGATCTTGGGTTTAGAATTTGAACACGTTGGCATCATAAACTCAGAAACCCTGCAGAAAATGTTTTTAGTTTTTGAAAATGTCTTTAGTCTGATTTTTGCTGTAATCCACAATTGAAATACCCTTTGTTAATCCCATATTGAAGTGATGTAAAATGAAAATTACAACCGTTGTACTTTTCTCCCCCCTGTTTTTAGAATCCAAGCTATTTATCTCGAAAGAAAATGTTAATGTTTGACCCCGTCCCTATCAAACAAGAAGCAATGGAGCCAATTCCAGTGGTCAGTATTTAAAAAGAATATAAATGTTAAATATTTATTCTCATGACATTGTAATAAGGCTGTGTGCAATACCATTCACATTCTTTTTTTCCGGTTCTGAAAGATGCAAGATTAAAAACAGGGTAGAGGTGACCAAATATGCGTTCTGAGCATTTATAACAAATAAATTGGATTTATTTTCCTTTTTTTTTTTTTTATTGGATTTATATACCGCCCTACTCCCGAAGGACTCAGGGCGTGAACAGCCACAGAATAAAAACACATAAATACAAAAATTTAAAATAGAATAAAAATGAATTAAATAATTTGGCTGAGACAAAATTAAAATACCCAATAATTTAAAAACAAATTAAAATTTACATTTAAAAGGGGAGATTTAGGCCAGGCCAGCTTGATGAAATAAGAAAGTCTTGAGCGCGTAACAGAAGGTGCGCAGATCCGGGATCCTCCATATCTCCGGGGGGAGCTCGTTCCAGATCGTAGGTGCCCCCACAGAGAAGGCTCTCCCCCAAGGGGCCGCCAGTCGACATAGTTTGGCCGACGGCACCCAGAGGAGCCCCTGTCTATGGGAGCGTACTGGCCGGTGGGAGGCTATTGGTGGTAGCAGGCGGTCCCGTACATCAAAATTTACTTACTGCGGGTATCAAAAAGCGTTACCTGTTTCCAGACACGGTTGCTTCAGCAGAGACATAGATTTGCAATACAATATTTGGATTAAGAGACACCGACAAAACAAAAACATCTATGGGTATGACAAAGAATAGAAGCCAATTTAGTGTAGTGATTAAGTTGCTGCTGGCCTAGAAACAGGAGACTGGGAGTTCTAGTCCCACTTTAGGAATGAAAACCAGCTAGGAGATCTTCAGACCAATCACCGGGAGAGTGTGAGTTCTAGTCCCCACTTAGACATGAAGGCTGGTTTGTTGATTTAGGCCAATCACCAGGAAACTGGGAATTCTAGTCTCACCTTAGGAATGAAAACCAGCTAGGTCCGTGATGGTGAACCTATGGCACACATGCCTGAAGTGGCACATGGAGCCATGTTGCCTGGCACGCACGGAAGCTCCCATTCCTCTTCCGGGTTTCTGGCTCGCATGCGCGCACGACGATCAGCTGCACTTTTTGCGCGTGGCAGTGCCAGAAACTGGAAAAGCTGGTCGTCTGTTTTCCTGCGTGAGCATACGCACCGGCCAGCTGATCATCGCGTGCGCATGTGCCCCAGAAACCGGGAAGAGTAGCTGGCCAGCGCACATGGGCTCACCGGAAACCGGAAGTTCATTTTTGGGCACGCGCATGCGCTCTGGGCAGCTCCTCTTCGGGGTTGCGGCCTAGACAAACGCGCTCAATTTGCCATCACTGAGGTAGGTGATCTTGGGACCAATCACCAAGGGAGTGTGAGTTCTAGTCTGCCTTATGCATGAAGACTGGCTAGTTGACTTTAGGAATGAAACCCAGCTAGGTGATCTTGGGACCAATCACCGGGAGGGTGTGGGTTCTAGTCCTGCCGTAGGCATGAAAGCCACCTGGGTGATTTTGAGCCAATCACTCCCTCTCAGCCCAACTTACCTCACAGAGTTGTTGTTGAGGGGAAAATAGGAGGAGGAAGGAGTATTAAGTATGCTCGTTGCCTTGAGTTACTGATAAAGTAAGAAAGGCAGGATAAAAACCTAATAAGTGAATCGTTTACTAGAATGAAATAAGCATATCTGTGCAGTATTGTCATTTGTAGTATGGTTTTCAAAAAAACGTTTCTGTATATTCACTGGATTTACTTTCATTTTAAGTCCAGTAGAACTCACGTTAGAGCATGACAGAAACAAGTCGCAAAGAAGGAGTTCCTGTTCTCCAGTACATTTTTTTTCCCTTGCTTTTTTCTGCCACTGGTTTCCATTCATTCCTTTCCTCCTCCTTTTCTTCCGCAGTCGTTCAACTCTACTTACATGGACCACATGAAGTCCAACAAGTACGGTGTCATCTACTCCACGCCAGATATGATGTCCAATAAGTTCTACCAGATTCCAGATGGACTGTGCAGTGGGGTTCAGGTGGAACCTGTTGACCTTACCATGAACAAACGGAGTTCACCGCCGTCAGCTGGAAATTCTCCTTCCTCTTTCAAATTCCAGACTCTACCCCAGAGATCTCCCCCTGGGTTATTAAATCTTCCCTCATCCAGCCCTCCTATGAAGAAACTGGGCCCACCGGGAATGCAGCCTTTTACTATGCCCTTAACGATCCCTCCAGTCATGGCGGCTCTTTCCCGTCACGGACTAAGGAGTCCCGGAATACTCCCAGTTATTCAGCCGCTTGTCGTTCAACCCGTCCCTTTTATGTACGCCTCTCACCTTCAACAGCCTATCATGGTGTCCACCGTTCTTTCCGAAGAGTTGGAAAACCCAAGCAGTGTCCCAGGTAAAACATCTGTCCTCGGGTCTGTTTTGCACTTTCTTGTCTTATTTTTTGGGGTGGGGAAGTCAACCTAAAAGAATTTTGTTCATCTTCTACTTTAAATGATGGCAATAGCACTAGGGCTTAGACTTATATACCGCTTCACAGTGCTGTACAGATGTCTCTTAAGAGTCAGCCTATCGCCCCCAACAATCTGGGTCCTCATTTGACCGACCTCGGAAGGATGGAGGGCTGAATCAACCTTGAACCGATGAGAATCGAACTGCTAACAGTCAGCAGAATTAGTCTGCAATGTTGCATTCTAACCACTGTGCACCATGGATGGATGGATGGATGGAAGGAAGGAAGGAAGGAAGGAAGGAAGGAAGGAAGGAAGGAAGGAAGGGCTATACCACTAGAAATAGCACTTTAGAATATACTGCTTCACAGTGCTTTACAGACCTCTCTTAAGAGTCAGCCTATCGCCTCCAACAATCTGGGTCCTTATTTGACTGACCTCGGAAGGACGGAGGGCTGAATCAACCTTGAACTGATCAGAATCGAACTGCTGACAGCAGAATTAGCCTGCAATGCTGCATTCTAACCATTGTGCACCATGGAAGGGAGGGAGGGAGGGAGGGAGGGAGGGAGGGAGGGAGGAGGAAGGAAGGAAGGAAGGAAGGAAGGAAGGAAGGAAGGAAGGAAGGAAGGAAGGAAGGAAGGAAGAGCTATAGCACTGGAAATAGCACTTTAGACTTATATACCGCTTCACAGTGCTTTACAGCCCAGTCTAAGCATTTTACAGAGTCAACAATCTGGGTCCTCATTTTACCAACCTCAGAAGGATGGAAGGCTGAGTCAACCTTGAGCCGGTCAGAATCGAACTGCTGACAGTCAGCAGAGTCTGCCTGCAATACTGTATTCTTACCACTGCGCCACCACTGCTCTATAAATTATCCTAAGCTTGATGGTGTAACTGGAAGCTTATAAAGAGAGATATACTGAACCATAGGGAGCATCCATAAGAACTGAAGAAAATGCTTCTCCTTAAGCAATCTTTAGCTAGCTTTCCCTTACTTTAAGGTATCCCATTGTCGTAGTGAGAAATGCGGTGATAAATGGAAGGGCAGAAAGAAATTGTAGGCTGACCTACATTTCTTGGAGGAATGGAATCTCTCAAAGATATATAGCTAAAGTGTTTCAAATATATTTGCTAGGTGCTAAGTTGATTTTTATTATTATTATTAAATATAAATTATTCTACACCATTATTATTAACACCAAGCACTTGGTGTTCCTATAGAAAGCAAAGCAATAGAATGGAAGTTATGTAGATTAATTCAATTATTCTTAATAGAATAACTGATATTATTCTATGGCATTAAGCACTTGGTGTTCCTATAGAAAGCAAAACAATTCAATTATTCTTAATAAAATAATTGATATTGTTCTACGGTGTTAAACACTTGGTGTTCCTATAGAAAGCAAAGCAATAGAATGGAAGTTATGTAGATTAATTCAATTATTCTTAATAGAATAACTGATATTATTCTATGGCATTAAGCACTTGGTGTTCCTATAGAAAGCAAAACAATTCAATTATTCTTAATAAAATAATTGATATTGTTCTACGGTGTTAAACACTTGGTGTTCCTATAGAAAGCAAAACAATAGAATGGAAGTTATGTAGATTAATTCCATTATTCTTAATAGAATAATTGATATTGTTCTATTAAGCACTTGGTGTTCCTATAGAAAGCAAAGCAATAGAATGGGAGCTACGGTAGATTTTTCTATAGAGACCAGAACAAAGAGCTGGGTTATAAGGTTTAGTATAGAACGGCATTGTCATTCAGCTATGTAAATTAATTCAAATGGTTTTATTTGCAATTTATATTTTTAAGAACGATGTAGCAAGGATGCGGTGACAGAAGACTCCAATGCAAGCTGTTTTCCTCTTTCTTTACCATTTACTGACTTCTTCCTCCGCACAGTATCCGTCATCGAATCTTACGAAAAGCCAGCACTAACGAAATCTATCAAGATTGAACCAGGCTTGGAATCGCCAAGAAACGACTACTATCCGGAGCAAATGTCTCCTCCTGTGATGACCTCCTTGTCACCTCCCATGCTACAAGAGTAAGTAGTTTAGAAGTAGTTTTCGAATCTTGCCAACGGAAGAGCGAATGGCGGTTGAAAGTTAGTTGACTGGCCTTTGAGGCAAGCTCAGCAACGTTGGGCGCCTTTCGTTAGCCTAATTCACAAATCTCATTTGCATAGGTATGGGCCCATTCAAATATTGAGCAAAGAAGAGCAATAAAGATGATTAGGGGACTGGAGGCTAAAACATATGAAGAACTGTTGCAGGAATTAGATACATCCAGAGGTGATATTCAGCCGGTTCGGATCGGTTTGCCCGAACCGGTAGCGGAAATCGTGGTGAGCCTGCCCACTTGCCCCAGCTCTCTGCCATCCTATTTAGTCATGTTTTTGAGGCTGGGTGCATGTGCGGAAGGCGTGCGCACCAGCGAAGTGCATGCATCGAAGGCTGGGCGCATGCATGGGTTCACATTTGTTCTGTCCCTGTACCACACACGCACCCCCACAGACGGCCCGGAGTTAATAAGCCACACGACAAAATTCTTTGAAGATAAAGCTGGCAGCAACCCAGTGGCTAGCTGCCAATTCAGACTTTACTCACACAAAACAAAGATTAGACTGCAAGCATTCCAATAAAGCAGGCAGAGTTTCAACAATAGAAGGATTAATCCAAATGCAGTCCGATAAAGCAGGCAAAGTCCAGTAACGCAGATAATAATCATGGATTATTTCCAGTTTTTGCTCGTCACAAACGGAACCGGCCACCGCACCCACATTTATACCCTGTGGGGTGTGGTCCAGTGACTCAGCTAATCTCTGGCACGCCTTCCCCTCTGTTGCGCACGCTTCTCCCTGCACCTCTGCCGAGGGTCCAGCCAGCACTTATCTCCGTCATTGCTGCCCACCTGTGGCTGCGGGGACGTGCTTGGCTCTGAGCCTATCTTTTGGCCTTCGGTGTCCTCCAGAGGCATTGCCAGAGAGGAGGGTCCTGGAGAGGGAGGCCTTGCCAACTCCTCCCCTTCACTCTCAGAGTCTGCATCTGTCGATAACCCAGGCTCAGGCAACGGAGCCACAACAACATTTGCGAACCGGTAGGGAAAGTAAGTGAATACCATTCCTGGATACTTCTAGTTTAATGAAAAGAAGGACTTGGGGTGACATGATAGCAGTCTTCCAATATCTCAGGGGGTTTCCACAAAGAAGAGGGAATTAGGCTATCCTCCAAAGCACCTCAGGGCAGGACAAGAAACAATGGATGGAAAGTAATCAAGGAGAGAAACAACCTAGAACTATGGAGAAACTTCCCGACAAAACAATCAGTAGAACGACTTGCCTCCTGAAGTTATAGGTCAGTGATGGCTAACCTTTTTGCCGTCGCGTGCCAAAAGTAGGGGGAGCATGGGGGGGGTCATGTGCATGTGTGCCCAGAGGCTTTCTAGGAGCCTGGGGAGGGCAAAAACTGGCTTCCCCACCCCCTCAGAGGCCCTGCGGAGGCAGGAAACAGCCTGTTTCCCAACTTCCAGTGGGACTGAAAGGCCCGAAAATCAGCTGGCCGGCACGCACATGCGCGCTGGAGCTAAACTAGGGCAATGCTTGTGTGCCCAGGTGGCACGCGTGCCATAGGTTTGCCATCATGGTTATAGGTGCTCTATCACTGGAGGTTTTTATGAAGAGATTGGACACCCGTGCGTCTGAAATGGTATAGGGTTTCCTGCTTGTTCAGAGGGTTGGACTAGAAGACCTCTAAGGTCCCTTCCAATTGTTAAATCTCAGGGGATTTGTTCAACTGAGATTATTCTTTATCATTGGCCAGAATAAAAAATAATCTCTTCCATGTCCTAATTTTGGTACGGCCATCAGGTTTTCATCGATTTGTCATCGTCTTATCTTTCCTAGCCAGATCCAATTTCAAATGTATATCTCTAGAACCGTGGTCTGTGTGAACTTCAAATATACCCCGCTGTGCATCTTATCTGAATTGTAGTCTTCAGAATAAATGTTACAACCGTCATTTATGGAAGCCAAAGGCTTTCTGTTTTAGAAAGACAAAGAGTGCATTTCTGTGCAAACATAAGTCTTCATTCTACTTGTAGGAAAGTCCTTGGTGGTAAAAGGAGTTTGCATCCCTGTGGTTGCGCCAAATCAGAAATTCTGATTTGGGCTCTGAAGAAATAGATGAAGAATAAAATCTGTTGAGTTTATGTCGGTAGAGCAAAGGAAGTTGGTAGCATTCATAGCATCGGGGGTGGGGAGGGGGAATCTGTATAATTTAAAAAAAAAGAAGAATACTTTGCTAAGATATTTAGAAAAATGTGTAAACCAATAGAAGCAGTGGTGGTATTTACTTACTTTCCCTACCGGTTCGCAAATGTGAAGCACACGCGCCTTCTGTGCATGGACCCGGCCTCAAAAAACGTGCCTAAATAGGACGGCACAGAGCCGGCGGGGGCAGGCCCACCCGTGATTTCCTCTACCAGTTCGGGTAAATTGGTCCGAACCAGCTGAATACCACCTCTCAATAGAAGCACTGAGATTTCTGAATTCTGCTTTCCTGGAAAACAAGATTGCGGCTTAAACTATTTGGTCAAATCCTGCCGTTCTAAAGATAGATAGATTAGATAGATAGATAGATAGATAGATAGATAGATAGATAGATAGATAGATAGATAGATAGATTAATAGATGATAGAGAGATAGAGAGATGAGATAGATAGATAGATAGATAGATAGATAGATAGATAGATAGATAGATAGATAGAGATAAGAGAGAGAGAGAGATGTGATGATAGATAATAGATAGATGGATAGATAGATAGATAGATAGATAGATAGATAGATAGATGAGATAGATGTGATTGATAGATAAATATATAGATAGATAGATGATAGAGAGATTAATAGGTGATAGAGAGAGAGAGAGAGATGTGATAGATAGAGATAGAGAGATGATAGATAGATAAATGTGATAGATAGATAGATAGAGATAGATAGAGATAGATAGATAGATAGATAGATAGATAGATAGATAGATAGATAGATTAATAGATGATAGATAGATAGAGAGAGAGAGAGAGATGATAGAGAGATTAATAGATGATAGAGAGAGAGAGAGAGAGAGATGATAGAGAGATTAATAGATGATAGAGAGAGAGATGAGAGAGAGAGAGAGATGTGATAGATAGATATAGAGATAGATGATAGATAGATAGATGTGATAGATAGATAGAGAGAGAGAGAGAGAGAGAGAGAGAGAGAGAGAGAGATGTGGGGGGGGAGAAATAGGGGAGGGGGGGAGATGGCTTGTTCATTCCAGCGAATAAATGAAACCAAATCTTTATTAGGAAAGCAAGCCAAAACTATTATACCACAGAAGCCCATGAAATTTCCTAAGCTTGCTTGAATTTTTTCCACATGTATGTAATGTTATTGATGCCGGCAGAAGACAAATGGCCATTGAGGAAGTGAACTCTGGGGTGTGGGCCCTTTTTTAAAAAAAAAGAAGAAGAAGAAAGAAGATTTTAATTCAAAAAGTTGCCCTTTTAACATATGATTCAACTTAACGCAGGAATCATCCTTCAGTTATAGTCCAGCCTGGGAAGAGGCCTCTACCTGTGGAATCGCCAGACACGCAAAGGAAGAGAAGGATACACCGGTGTGATTACGAAGGCTGCAACAAGGTGTACACTAAAAGCTCTCACTTAAAAGCTCATAGAAGAACACACACAGGTAAGGAAGCAAATGTTTATTTTCTTTTGGCGGGGAGCGGAGGTTGGAAACCTTCATGAAACGATTTTTTTTAAAAAAAACCTAGCTCCTACTACAGGTAGTCCTCGACTTACAACAGTTTCCTGAGCGACCGATCGAAGTTAGAACGGCACTGGCAGAAAGTGACTTAGGACCGTTTTTTCCACACTTAACGACCGTTGCAGCATCCCCACAGTCAGATGATAATTAAAATTCAGACGTGGGTTTCACTCACCTTTGCTACCGATTTCGCTCGCGCATCCGCAGAGCGTATTTGATGACATTCTGGGCCTGTGGGCGGAGCCTCCCGCCGCCGCTACTACCGGTTCGTGCGAACCGGTAGCCACCCACCACTGTCGGCAACTGATTCACATTTATGATGGTTTCCGTGTCCCCGGAATCTGGATTCAAATGTTATTCAGATGTGGTGCTAACTTTAACAAATGCAATGATTCACTTCATTAACTGCCTCGCTTAACAACAGAAATTTTGGGCTGTCGTTGCGGTTGTAACTTGCGGTCATAAGTCGAGGACTTCTTTCTTATATATCCTATGCAAGCTTGTTTTAGAAGCCGGCTTTACTGTGTTTAGTGATTTATTCCCCCACAAGTAGATTCAAGAGGCTGATATTTATTTTCCCCTTGGTACATTTTGCTTCTCTGTCTGGTAGCTAAACTTATTTTTTTGGCCTTCTAAGTATGACTCAGTGGAATATTCACCAACACACCCAACTCTATTGGCAGTAAACGACTTCCTCAAAGAACTGATGGTATTTAAAAGTTTATGATGTGCTTTTTAAAGCAAATAAAGGGTTCTTGGGAAGAGAATTATGGATCTTTTTTTTTTCCTTTCCATCTTTCCATTTTTTTCCATTTAATGCAGGGGTGAAATCCAAATTTTTTCGCTACCGGTTTTGTGGGTGTGGCTTGGTGGGCGTGGCAGGGGAAGGATATTGCAAAATCTCCATTTCCACCCCAATCCAGGGGATACATATTTATTTATTTATTTATTTATTTATTTATTTATTTATTTATTTATTTATTCATTCATTTATTCATTTATTCATTTATTTATTAATTTTTTTAATTTGATTTATATGCTACCCTTCTCCGGAGACTCAGGGCCGCTTACAATGCGTTAAGCAATAGCCTTCATACTTTTGTATATTTATACAAAGTCAGCTTATTGCCCCCACAAACTGGGTCCTCATTTCACCTACCTTAGAAAGGATGGAAGGCTGAGTCGACCTTGAGCCTGGTGAGATTTGAACTTGCAGTAATTGCAGGCAGCTAGTGTTAATAACACTGTTAATAACAGTGCTTTAGTATGCTGTGCCACCAGGACTCTTTATTGGTTCGATTTATATGCCGCCCTTCTCTGGAGACTCAGGGTGGCTTACAATGCGTTAAGTAATAGCCTTCATACTTTTGTATATACCTGCTTAGTAGGGCTTTCGCCCCCCCCCAAGCGGTGTTCTTTTTTATACAAAGTCAGCTTATTGCCCCCACAATCCGGGTCCTCATTTTACCTACCTTGAAAGGATGCAAGGCTGAGTCAATCTTGAGCCTGGTGAGATTCGAACTTGCAGTAATTGCAGGCAGCTGGTGCTACTTAATAGCACTTTAGTCTGCTGCGCCACGAAGGCTCTTTGTCATTGCAAAATCTTCCAAAATCTTGCAAAATCTCCATTCCCACCCCACTCTGGGGCCAGCCAGAGGTGGTATTTGCCGGTTCTCCGAAGTACTCAAAATTTCCGCTACCGGTTTGCCAGAACCTGTTAGAACCTGCTGGATTTCACCCCTGATTTAATGGTAGCATCATTGAAAGCCATTTGAAATGTTGCTTTGATGTTCCTCAAATTTAGAAAGTTTGGATATTGGGTTTTGGGCCCAAGTTTAAATATTCATTGGCCCAAGGACTCACGAACACCACTGGCGATACAGGTAGTCCTCGACTTATGACCACAAGAGAGCCCAAAATTTTATGTTGCTAAGTGAGACATTTGTTAAGTGAGTTTTCCCCCCCTTTTCACCATCTTTCTTTCCACAGTCATTAAGTGAAACATTGCAGTTGGTACATTAGTAACCCGGTTGTTAAGTGAATCTAACTTTGCTTGTCAGGAGGTCACAAAAGAGGATCACATGACCCCGGGAACAATGCAACGGTCATAAATATGAACCAGTTGCCAAGAGTCCGCATTTTGATCATGTGACTGTGGGAATGCTGGAACTGTTGTAAGTGTGAAAAACAGTCGTAAGTCACTTTTTTTGGTGCCGTTGTAACTTTGGACGGTCACTAAATGAACTCTTGTAAATCGAGGACTTCCTGTATATTTTTTAAATTAAATAAGGAGACGAAACCTTTAGTCACATTGCAAAGGTAATAATATATACATTTATCAAATCAAATAAGTAATAAATATGATATTGCAAAAGATTTGAGGTCCTACATAAAAAATTGACAAAGGTGTAATTGGTTTGTGTATAAAAAGTTCATCCGGAATTGACTGTGCAAATTATCCATCGCTGGCAAGAGAGCAAATGTACACATTTTGTGGCACATTTTAAATGTACAAGGACCTAGTTTATTAATGTTTCCACCCAGAATCAAAACATCTGCCGGAAAAATAGATGTAGGGGAAGAAGTGGCAAAAGTTGAGGGCGGAGTTAAAAGAGGTACCAGCCTAGAATCCCATAGGGACGTTCAGTGAAATTACCGGCGATGAAGAAATATTGCTCTTCTCGTACGTTTTTTTTTTATGTATCGTTAAAATAATCTCGTTTGTGTTTCTTAAAAAGTATTTCCTTTTTTTAAAAAAAAAATCCACAGGTGAAAAGCCTTACAAATGCACTTGGGAAGGTTGCACATGGAAGTTTGCTCGATCGGACGAACTAACACGGCACTTCCGGAAACATACCGGCGTCAAACCGTTCCAGTGTCCGGACTGTGATCGCAGTTTCTCTCGCTCTGACCATCTTGCCCTCCATCGGAAACGCCACATGCTCGTCTGAACTTCTCACTTCTCTGCCCTTTTTTGGGGTTTTTTTTTTCTTTCTTTTAATTTTTTTTTTTTTTACCTCAGCATTTTAATTCAGATTCAGCTGGACTGGATCTTTGGATTTTTATCTCCTCGCAACCTTTCTTGATGGTCAGTAAAATAAAAAAATAAATGTTTGCTTGGCCCATCTCGGATTCTTGCCTTCGGACAGACCGAAAGAATGTGAACATTTTTTGTGTGTTTTGTTTGTTTCCTGGGGGATGCTAAGCGCCCCCTCATTTGCCAGCAAATAGATTATATCTCCTTAAGACAATTTATAATCAAGCTGATTAGTTTTGCCATTTAATCAGCCAGTATATATTGATGATACAGTTACTGGTTTGTTTGTTTTTTCTTCCTGAAATCCAGTTTGCTAATCCTTGCCAGAGACTCGGTGTGCCTGTCGTAAAAGGATGCACGTCTCCTTTTTATGCCCAGCAATGCAATGAATGGATTTGTTTTGAATATGGTTGGTTCGTTAGAGAAGCATGTTCCAGAAGACATAATTATTTTTTTTGGGGGGGGGGATGCAGAAAATGAAATCCCCAACCCTGGGAATGAATGAAAAAAAAAAATTCTCCATTTATCAGCAGAAAACAGACGTCCACGCAGATGTCACAAATCCTGATCAATGTTGCCTTTTTTGTGTGTGGGTTGGGGTGGGGGTTATGCAAGTTGTTTTGCCTGAGAATCGAGTGTCTTGGTAGATTCACTGAGCAAACCCTTTCGGTGGGATGCAGTGATCTGTTTTTTGTCATGCAACTGTGTGAATGGGACACACACGGTACTCCTTGTGGTGTGACATTCATTGATAAAAATTGATTAAAAATCTACCTCGCTGGGGAAGCGTGGCAGGCATAGAAATTTTTCTCCACGCCTCGGCATTTTCCTGCCCTCACGAGAACACCTCGACCTGCCTTAGCGGAGAAAAAGCCACCGTTCCAGCAAAAATAAATTCAGCTCTTCCTTGTTGGAAATGAATTTCCATCCGAGACCTTTTCCAATATTCTTATGATCCCGGATGAAAAAAGATTTGCTTAATTGAAGCACTTCCAGAGAGCATAGGATTCGGTCACAATGATCACCAATTAAAGACTTGGAATCCCGTCAAATCGTTTTTATCAGCCCGTATGAAAACTTCAGCGGACAAGCCCTCGCCAAGTATTTTTGTAATACCTTCTCAGTATCGATGATTTTCCAAAAAAAATAATAATAATAATAATTTTGAAAGATTAGATAGTTTCATCCTATAAATCTTCCGTATCTTCAGAGATGCAAATTTTTATATTTATATTAAGGAAATGAGACTCGCCGTAATCCACCAGCATTTTGTCCTTTTGCAACCTATGGTTAAATTCGTGGGAATTGTTTCTCTCGTATGTAGAAAAAAAGGAAAGATTTTTTTTTATATTAAAAAAAGGAAGCCAACGATGACGACAACAGCCAGAGGAATGAGCAGGAGAGGAAGGGATTGCAGAATATAAACTAAACACTTTATAAACTAAAAAAATCACATACATTTCGAGTAAATAATTGCTCAGGGGCAACTTGGCTTACTCAAAATTGCTTGTTGTATTGTTCCATAAATTGTATTTAGCTTCAGTTGTTCTGGTATAAACTTTTTCTAGCACTTTCATCATCCTGTTCCCTCTCTTACTTTTTAAAAGTTGTATTACCGAACTCTCATTAAACCGGTGTGTAATATGGAACACTGTGACTAGACCACGTCCATTGTTTCTGGTACAAAGATTCTCACGCCTTAGTTAAGTCTTGCTCAGTTCCTCAAAAAAAAAAAAAAATACTATTTAAATTCCAAATTAGCTGGCCTAGTCTCCTCTTCCCCATCCTCACATTTTTGATATTTCTGAAATAAGGTTCTCACAAAAAGTAAGTTATAGGTAGCCGTTGACCGCAATCGGAAGCAGAATTTACATTACTAAGCAAGATCGTTCTTAAGGAAGTTGCGTCCGATTTGTTAAGCGAATCATTGCATTTGTTAAGTGAATCATGGGTTCATTAACCAAATCCCGACTTCCCCCATGAACTGGGAAGGTCAGGAATGGTGTTCCTATGACCTTAGGTTGTTTTCGCAACCCCGAGCAACCAAATTTTGACCTGTAGTTGAGTAGAATTGTGTTTCAGTGGTGTGCAACCAAATAGGCAGCTGAGAGCTTGACAGAAAATTCAATTTATTTGATACTTCAGAACAAGGGTGAGCAAAAGCTCCTTTCTGGCAATTGAATTTATGCAATTAGTTTCTTAAGGTGCATTTTATTATTATGCCAAGAATTTGAAAATTGTGGAAGGCGTACAGAGGTAATCTTCGACTTCTGACCGCAATTGAGCCCACAATTTCTGTGGGATAAGCGAGACAATTGTTAAGTGAGTTTTGCGACCGTTGTTAAGTGAATCACTGCGGTTATTAAGTTAGTAATACGGTGGCTGAGTAAATCTGGCTTCCCCCGTTGACTTTGCTTGTGACCCTGGGACACCGCAACCGTCATAAGTGTGAATCCGTTGCCAAGCATGCGAATTTTGACCACGTGGCAGCTGCAACAGTTGAAAGTGTGAAAAACGATCAAAACTCACCTCAGTGCCATTGTAACTTTGAACGGTCACTAAATGGATCATCATAAGTTGAGGGTTGCCTGTATGTGCTTCTAATTGTTCTTGCCCTGAGACAAAGAAACCATTGTCCATTTCAGCGAAAGAGGCAAAAAAAAGAGTCACTTTTGGAGCTAAATGGCATGATTAGCCAGTACTAATAGTCCTCAACTTGCAATGGTTCAGCTTAATGGCCGTTCGGAGTTACCACGGCACTGAAAGAAGTGACTTATGACCATTTTTCACACTTATGACCATTGCAGCGTCCCCAGGGTCATGTGATTTGCATTCATATGCATGGCAATTGACTCACATTTATGACAATTTTAGCGTCTACGGGTCAGAGGATTATCAGACAATAATTAGAACTGCAGAAAAAAAACATGGCTACCAACCTGCCTTCCATTGAGGACCTGGATACTGCACGAGTCAAAAAGAGGGCTGGGAAAATATTTACAGACCCCTCGCATCCTGGACGTAAACTGTTTCAACTCCCATCCTCAAAACGAGGCTATAGAGCACTGCACACCAGAACAATTAGACAAAAGGACAGTTTTTTCCCCAACGCCATCACTCTGCTAAACAAATAATTCCCTCAGCACTGTCAAACTAGTTACTAAGTCTGCACTACTATTAACCTTCTCATCGTTCCCACCACCCATCTCCTCCCGCTTATGACTGTATGACTGTAACCTTGTTGCTGGTATCCTTAACATTTATATTGACCGTTTCCTAATATGATTCGATTGCTTATTTGTACCCTATGACTATCATTAAGTGTTGTACCTTATGATTCTTGAGGAACGTATCGTTACTTTTATGTACCCTGAGAGCATATGCACCAAAGACAAATTCCTTGTGTGTCCAATCACACTTGGCCAATTAAAAAAAAAAATGCTACCTTCTGACAAGCAAATGAGCCTTGGTAGTACAGTGGTTTAAAGCACCCTGTTATTAAGACCAGCTGCCTGCAATTACTGCAGGTTCGAATCTTACCAGGCTCAAGGTTGACTCAGCCTTCCATCCTTTCTAAGGTAGGTTAAATGAGGACCCAGTTTGTGGGGGCAATAAGCTGACTTTGTATAAATATACAAAAGTATGAAGGCTATTGCTTAACGCATTGTAAGCCGCCCTGAGTCTCCGGAGAAGGGCGGCATATAAATCAAATTAAAAAAAAAAAAAAAGTCAATAAGGAAGCCAGGTTGACTTAACAACCGTGTCACAAAAGAACTGCAGCAATTCACTTCACAAATGTGGCGAGGAAAGCTGTAAAACGGGATAAAATTCACTTAACATAAATTTCGGGGCTCACTTCTGGTCGTAAGTTGAGGACTGCCTGTCTAGTCCTGTATATAATCTCCTAGCATTTTCAAGGTATCGGAGAAATACCAGATGGAAATAAGCACATCTTTGTGCGTTCAGAACAGGGTAATGCTGAATTCAAAATTCACGGAAAATTGCAGATCAACAACATGAATTTGCAGTAATTTGGAAGAAGGAAGAAGAAGGAAACAACTCACTTTAGTGACCAACTCACTTTAGATTTGATATAAGGGTAATCCTCGATTTACGGCCACAACTGAGCTTATAATCTCTGTCGCTAAGCGAGACAGATGTTGAATGAGTTTTGCCCCCATTTTGATTAAGTGAATCACTGCAGTTGGTAACAGGGTTGTTAAGTGAGTTTGACTTCCCCGTTGACTTTCCGCGTCACAAACGGGGGATCTCGTGACCCCGGGATACTGCAACCGTCATAAATATGAATCAGTTGCCAAGCGTTCGGATTTTGATTACGTGACCATGTGATTGTCATAAGGGCGAAAAACGGTCAGAAGTGCCGGCGTAACTTCGAAAGGTCACTAAACAAACTGTCGCAAGATAAGGACTGCTTGTAGCCTGTTTCCAATTCGGTGTCAAACTTTAAGGTAACCATGCTCTACGGGGACATGAGGACTAGTCTCTTTGAGGTTCATTGAATAATGTTCTGATATCAGTTTATACCAGGGGGAATTGTTCATTTATTGGAATATAAAGTAAGACTACGATATCTGCCCGGCAAAAATCTAGATGATCGATCGCAAACAGAGGAGAATTATTAATTCGGCTCTCTGGTTTAGTGGTTATCTAGAAATCATCATTTAATAATCCCTTGTGGGGTGGAGTCTGGGCAACTGAATGGAGCTAGCAGAGTGTTTTAATGGCCAGATGCTTTTCCTGTTGCCAATGAGGAGTTTTGTTCAGCAGATATATTCTCATCGTGCCCAGAGAGAGAAATATCTGCCTCTACCTAGGATTGAACTCACAAGCCTCCTGATTGTGAGGCGAGAGCTCCACCTCTAGGCCGCCGCCCCACTCTGCTTAGCGGCTATCTAGAAACGGTCGTTCTAAATGGAGCAAAGATCTCTTGCGTTTTCTGCTGTATTGTCAAACCAAATTGATGCTTAGACATTTCACACTAACCTTTTTTTTTTTAATTTGATTTATATGCCGCCCTTCTCCGGAGACTCAGGGCGGCTTACAATGCGTTAAGCAACAGCCTTCATCCTTTTGTATATTTATACAAAGTCATCTTATTGCCCCCACAAACTGGGTCCTCAATTTACCTACCTTAGAAAGGATGGAAGGCTGAGTCAACCTTGAGCCTTGGCGAGATTCGAACCCTGCAGTAATTGCAGGCAGCTGGTCTTAATAACCAGCTTAATAACAGGGTGCCTTAGACCACTGTGCTACCAAGGCCCCTTTGAGAAGGGAAAGGGGGGGAAAAAATCAGAAGAAAATGAATTAGTTTTGAAGTGTCAGGAACTGAACCCTGGGACATCCAAGCGGAGAAAATCGGAAGTCTAAACGGATCCTTAAAAATAATCAAGATTTTTAAAATGGAAAGCATCTGAAAGCATACACCGAGAGCTGAAATGGATATATAATTTACCAAGTTGTGCCTTTTGCATAAAACAAATGCTCCATTTTTGAAGCTTCTTAGTCACCAATATCTTTTTTTAAAAAACAAAGAAGTGCTTATTATCATAAACTTATTTCCTACAGAGCGTTTTATATTTTTTTTCCCTCCCCAAACACCTGTCTTCAGTGGATTGATGCTGTCCCATATTTACCATACAATGAACGAAGAAGAAGAAGAAAAATTTGCTCCTACCCCTAATTCTAAATTGCTAGTAAAGCTTCAGAATCTCTTCATCTAATTTCCTATTTTAAACGTGTCGGGGTATTTTCCCCCTTTGTTCCTTAATTCTGAGCAAAAAAAAAAAAAAAGGAGAGGGTACAATGGCAAATGGACTCTATGCTGATTTTAATCTGTATAACCAGCTAATTAATTTGAGTCTGATGCTATTAAAGATTCTTTGTATTGATGTGGCCAAATATGTGCCAGGATTGAGGGGGGAAAAAAACAGATTTACACAATTTGCAGTTTGGTTTAAAACGTTTGGCTGGACTGCAGGAAAACTAAGGATGCAAAATACTACAGGTAGTAATCAACATAGGACCACAAGTGAGACCAAAATTTATGTGGTTAAACGAGACAGTTGTTGAGTTTGGCCTCATTTTACGATCTTTCCTGCCACAGTTGTGGTTAAGTTAGTTCTTAAGTGAATCTCGCTTCCCCATTGATTTGGCTGGACAGAAGGTCGCAAAAGGGAATCACATTAATCTGCGACACTGCAACCGTCATGAATGTGAATTTATGCATATGAATGCAAACCACGTGACCAATGGGGATGCTGGGACGGTCGTAAGTGTGAAAAACGGTCATTGGTCACTTCTTTCAGTGCCGTGGTAACTTCAAACGGTCAGTAAATAAAGTGATGTAAGTTGAAGACTAGCAATTGAATACTGTGTAGGTAGTCTTTGACTTACAACCGTTCATTTAGTGACCAAAGTTGCAACGGCACTGAACCACGAGATTTACAACCATTTTTCACAGCTACGCAGCATCCCCATGATTTACATTCGGAAGCTCGACAACTGACTCATATTTATGACGGTTGCAGAGTTCAGGAGCCATTTTGAGGCCTCCCGACAAGCAAAGGTCAACGGGGAGCCCGGATTCAACTTACTAATGTTACTAATTTAACAACCGCCGTGATTCGCT